GAGCTCTCACATTATACGCCAAAGGTCAGCCTAACAGGGTTCAAACTAAGTACACCAGGACTAAAAATCGAGGGGAAATCTCCCCAGAGCTAGCCCCATATCAACTCTTCAGGATTACCACCTGTATCGGTACTCTCCCCAATGCCTTCTGCCTTCTGCCTTCTGCCAAAACAGGCCTCTTAACACTGAGATGGCCTGGAGGGGTGGAATGAAAATGACACTTGTTTGTAAGGCATGTGCAGCCTGTTTAGCAGAGGGGCCACATTGGGATCCTACAGGAAGTATTCAGCTGAGTGAAAGACAAAGTAACAGGTCAGCTGACATGTGACATCTGAAAATCAAGGACAGGGAGCACAGACCTTGGAGAACCAGCAAGGACCTTTGTGATAAGAGGCTCTCCAACCAAAATGGCTTTTCAAGGGCTGAACGTCTGGCTCTTTGCTTCGTGCTCGCATCCCCAGACCACTCACTATACTCCTTTCTCAAACTGTTTAATAATTGATCACTGCCCTCCAAACTGGCAGTCCGGAACTTGCTTCTTAACATGTCATGGAGAGAAGTGATAAATAATTTGTCACCAAGACTGCTGAGTTTGTGGACTATGGAAGAATAAGCCCAAAGATATGATGCTTTACAAGATGAGGCAATTAGCTTTTGGAGTTGGGCAAAGAACTAAGACCAGTGCTGTCCAACAGAACTTTCCAGGACGAAAATATCCTAGATCTGCACTGTTTAGTACTGCAGCCACTGAACACTTAAAATGTGACTAATGTCACCAAGAAACTTATTTTTCGATTTTATTTAATGCTTAAAAAGTTTAAATTTAACTAACCACACGTGACTAGTTGTTACTCTACAAGACAAGGCAGCTCTAGACCCCCTCCACCAAGGTTCAAATTAGGAGTTAAGAATAGAGATTGTAAAAAATATTTAGCACAGTAGCATCTAAGAGAATGCGAGATGCACCTAAAACAGTGGATTGAGTTTTTTTGTCTTTGACTTGTACTATCCACTGAACCATGCATCAGAGCCCAAATACCCCTCCCCATATACAGCCCTGCAGGCAACTCCATCTTCCAGCAGCCCAAGGCACTTTAGACTAACAAGGATCCCATAAATGCTTTTGATGTTGACCGACTCTCGTTCACCAGTTGAAGAAACAGACCCCAAAGAGCCAAGAGACCTGCCTAGAACCACAGCCAGATTTCAGCCATGAAAGCAGCACTAAGCCCCCATCCCTCAATCCAGGGTTCTTGCCAGCTAAGCCCAGTGGTGAAAGAGCCTTATCAGCCCGCAGTGCTGCATACCTTTACTTTCAGAACTCACCTGAGGCCCTGAGTTGTTCCTAAGAGCATGAGCCTTCAGTGACACCCAGCTCAGTGAAGGCAGCCAGACAGTATTACCAGACGGGGCCAGAACGTTTACTATCGACTGCTGCAAACTATCAACCTCAGCTGTAGAAATGTCCAAATGGCAAGGACCTGGACAGAATTAAGACCATTTAGTAGGAGAAAAAGAAAAGTTAAGGAAATGGACATCTCGGAAGCTACTTATTACTGAAAGCCAGTCCCCAGAATGCTGAATCACATACACACCTTCATTACAACTAACTGAAAGATCAGGAGAAAAGCCCATGGATTTGACCAGGCTTTGGTTCTTCTCACAAAGCCCTCCAGAGGACCTAGTGTTAAGTCCAAACTCACACTTGGCAGTTTCTCTACCCCTCAATTTGTATTTCTACTAGCTGTTGAAACAATCCGGAGTGACCTCCAGCTTCACCTCCTCAACTGCACTCAGAGGTGTGAGGATTAAAGGATTAGGGAGGTGTTTGCTCACAACTCACCTAGCAGAGTAACTATCAAGGAAAAGCCATTCTCTAAATTTTAGTTCCCATATCTCCACCACTTACTTCTCCAGCTGGACTCTGTCCCACTCAAAACATCGTCACTGATCATATTTTCCACAATTCGAGTTTAAAATTAGGTACCAAGGCCAGCAGGTTTGCTCAGTAGAAAGCCACAAACAATGGGTACTTATGTTAAATGATCACAATGGTGTGAAGCATGACACCAGAAAGGGATGTGGAAGAAACAGAACTTGCCCTAGGAAGCAAATATCAGGATTAAAATACATCCCACAAACAGTAGCAACGCAAACAGTATAAGATGATTTAAGCTGGACAAGATGCCCGTAGGACCCAGCACCTCCCCCGAGCAGAGGAAAATTCAGAATGGCAAGCTGAAGGCATTAAACTGTACACAACATCCCCACAAGAGCACAACAGACCAAGCTGTAGAGAGGCCCTCTCATTCTAGACCGACAGGGAAAATTAGGAAGGAGTGGCTTGGGGAGAATGGGCTGGAAGGCACCAGCTCACCAGACACATGGGATGCCCACTCCTCAAGGCCTGAAATGAGAACTTTGATCAAGTCATGTTTGTCTTAAGCTAGAGCCAGGAGGCTGGCTGGCAAAGTGTGGGGAAACCAATTTGTTTTCCTTTTCTTTCCAACTAAGTTTCCAGGTCAGAAGTTGTGGGGAGGGTCCTTTTAATAAAATTCAAATCACTCAAGTGATTCAAGAGAAGATGTCAGACTCTTTAGAGGGTAATAAAAACAATGCTTGAGCACTCATCACGCACAGTGCCGAGTCTCACAAATATTACCTCAATTTGTCTTTAGGATGAGGAGAGGGAATACTGTAAAAGTTAAAATCAGCCTTCATCCACATGATGGCCAGGACACAGCCAGAGTCCCAAGTCCAAGAGTAATACAGGTGACCAGGTAGAGCAAAATGAATTGTTTTAAAATACTGATGCTCAGCAACCTTACACTGACAATGCATCCACTTGGCCCCTGAGCAGGCCACTTACAACAGATACCTTCACTGTCACCCTGAAGTGGCCAAGTGTGAATGCATTGTCTAGAAAACAGCTAGCAGGAACTGATAGTCACACACAAGGCTCCAACAAGACAAGTCCATTAGACCTGTCTCATTCCCAGGATTGGACAAGATCAGTTACCTGCAAATTCTGGGCTATCACCTAACTATGCACGACAACTGAGACTATTTAATCCAGGTAGGAACTAAAGCTTCAGTGATTTGCATACCTATAGGATTCAGAGGACCTCCTTTGGGCCTAGTGACAACTTCCTCTGAGCATATACACATGTATCATTATCCAGAAACCACAAAACTAGTTAAGAGGTGAAAAAGGAAAGGTTCAAGACAAGTCAAAAGGCTCCCAAAACATAACTTCACGTGCTTCCAGTGCTCAGAAAGTCTTAAATAATCAGCAGGTGAACCAACTGAATGCCAAGAACAGAGGAATCTGATATATGACCAAATCATTTCTCTTCATTTCAGAAATGTGCTGTACCTTTAAGAGCAAAGGGGATGGGTGGTGCTGAGTCCAAGTTTTGCTTTCTAAATAGGTTTTTTCTTAAAGGACCTAGTTACAAAAGCATGTTAAGTTTACTGTTTGCCAGAATTAATAGTTTGCGAACGGTGTTTCTTTATCGGTAATTAGCAAGCCAATCAACAGATATGATTGTACCAGGTGTCTAGCAGCCCAGATTTTCCTGCAGGAGATAAATTTAAACACCATGTAGCCTACACTTCAGTAGGGGGAAAATAGCTAGTTTAATCTAATTGCCCTACCTGGCTTGAGAGTCTTCCACTCACACCTGGAGCAAAGTGCACCGGGTTTGTGTTAGGGGCGGCGGAGACGCAGAAAGGCGCAGAACAACCTGAGCAACACCGCTGGAGATCGCCAAAGGACCAGCCAGGGCTTACATGCAGTCCCGAGTCGCACCCTTTTTCCCTACGCCTCCTTCGGAGGGGAAATGGGAGGAACCTTACCCTAGGGCACGAGAGCTGAAATGGTAAAGGCGTGCCTCGAGGAGTCCAAGTCGACGGCCTCTCCAAGCACATTTTGACCCTTATCTGCGAAACTAGCTTGGTCCCTTCAGAACGCCAGCGGGTGGAGAAAGGGGGGCGGGCGGAGCGCGACACGTGACCTACGCGCCCCGAGGCAAGAAGTCAGCGGGCACACCAGGCAGAACCATACGGTCTCAGCCTCTCCCGAAACCCTTTAAGGAGCTGCAAATGCTAATTCTCTCGAGACACCAAGACTTCGACCTCGGAACCCTAACTTGGTTCTAACGGTCCCTCCGCCCAAAACAGGAATCCAATCACAACCGGTCGCCTAGCCCATCCTCCCCGTTTAGCAAACCGAGCTCCTTCCCCTGGTTTGTCGCACTGAACTCTCTCAGGGACTGGGCTACCTGCTCGGATTTGCCACCGCCGGACCTAGGAAGGGGGCAACCTAGGGCGAGATAAAAAGGCCCAGAAGTTGGGTGAGGTTCCAAAAGTGACCAATTCAACTCCAACCCCTCAGAAGGGAGAAAGGGGTGCATGCAGGCCTTGGGGCACCTTCTAGCCCTGTAAGCACCTGGCCCTGCTGACAGACCGCCCCGCCGCCACCTCTCCCGGCTCAGACTGGGTATACACGACCTTTGAAAAGTACACGCGTGTGGGGTTAGGCGACCTTGGGTGAACGCACTCAGGTCTGTCTCATAGGAGGGTGTGCGCGCTCCAGGAAAGTTAAGCCGCAGAGGGGTGGCCCGGGCGTCGCGTCCTCACCTTCTGCCCCCGAGGATGGTGACGCGCGCGGGGGGCATTACAAGGCTGCAGAGCGCCCCCCGCCCCCAATAACACACACGCGATCTGTCAGCAGGAGCCCGCCCGCAGACAACCCCGACAGAGGAAGATGAGGGGGAGCACAGGCGACAGAAAAGAAAGAAGGGCCTGCTTGACAGCAGGCGGCGGGTCGGAGCCCCTCCGCACGCACTTGGCTTCCGGAGCCTCGGGTCTGCGGGACACCTGGAGCGCGCGTCGCACAACGCACCTGCACCATAGGCTCCCCATCACCCTGACGGCGTCGCCCCGGGGGCCCCAGCAGGTGGTCTCCGGGCCAGCCGTTCCCAGTGGCCCCTACTTACCAGCTCCTCGGCGACCGTCCGGATGCAGAGTCCACGCCCGCCGCCGCCGCCCCCCAACCC